TATTAATGCCTTCTCTGTGTGGTGTTGCCAGATCTGCCTGTGTCTACTTAATATCCCATTTTCATTAAACTTGAATACGCTATTTCCTCCTGTGAAATAAGTCTTCTGAGCCGACTAATCAATGGTTCAATCATTACTGCAGATCAAGACACATAAATGCACAATCATAGTAAGCAGATTGAAGAAGTCTTAAAGAGGCAATATTTATCAGTAATGGGGCTGGTATTACAACCATTACATAGCCATTACAACTTTAGGGGAGGAACACAGGGCAGGAAGACTAAATGGCCTTCAGCAGAAGAGAGAGAGGAAGACATACAGTGATGCTGATACTGGAGTTCTCTGCACATGTAACACCAAGACTGATTGCAGAGAGGTTTCAGAAAGATGGACAACTTCCTAGACTGGAATAACAAGGTTCTCAAAAGGTTTGGCCATATTTTTGGGACCACTTGCAAAATAGTGGGAAGAATTGGTAATAATGATAAACTATTGTAATATGCAACTAGTATGTTGATATAATCCAGTTACCTGCATCATGTCTTTTTTTCTGATGTATTCATAATCATAGCTAACCATCACTTTTAGAAATATACTGTGTTGTGATGCACCACATTAGTTGATCACACATTGCTGCTTGATAAATCATTTGTCAACAGGACTATTACTGTGAATCAACTAAAGGAAGAGAAAAGATGTCATGCTCATTTAGTTGTCTTTAAGCCAATAGGGTCTTGCTGGATCAGAAAAGATTGGGTGTTACATAGAGAGAGTAGTTTAGTAACCCTTTCTTAGCTATTTTTGCATTCTTACATGCTGTAATCCAGATGAGACCGAAGTGTGAGGTGATTTTCTGATCCCTGCACAGGCAGTGACAGCTGAAACTAAAACCCAGATGTGGATCCCAGAAGCAGAACATCAGAGTAGTGCTGGGAGTCAGGTTTTATTTTCAGCTGGAAAGTGAGAATACTTCTTAAACAGCTACATGCTTCAGTGTGCATGTTCTCAATACTTCTGAGGCTCTGTGGTTAGCAGGTAACCACTCCCGTATACTCTCTGGATAAGAATGAAGCCTGATTACCTGATTGTTCTCTTGCTTTTTAATTTACCAGAAGTGCAAAGATAGTTTTAGCTGGGCAAAAGAGACCAGGGAAAAGATCTTCATCAAGGTAGACTTTGCTTTAAGCTGAAAGATAACAAGTAGAGCTGAAGTCCAGTATTTGCTACATTGCTTCTCTGGTTATAGCCAGTCACTTAAGGACAGGTCCTACACATTAAGCTGGAGTTTCAGAGACTGTAGTCACTTTGGTAGGTTTGTTCCTGTGTTCTGATCACTAACATAATCCCTCTGATGAAACAGTCATTCAGGTGCACACTAGCCTCAGATGACACAAATCATATTGAAGTCAGCTGTGAGAAATAGTGGCCCCTGCTTCTTGTTGCTCCTTTTTCCCAGTAAAGAGTCATGCTCAACTTCTGTTTTTTGGATCTAATACCTGTAAGCCAACAGGTCTGTGGCCAAAGCCCAACAGTGAAGTTTGGCTCAAATGCGGAGTACAGACCTGCTCTCTGTTAGCTGTGTGCTGGTTCAAAAGAGAACACATTTCCTTTGCCATATTCAGGGATGGTGCAGTTAAAATAGAGAAGTAGCTTTGAATTTTCCTGTTAGAGCAAATCCATGTTCTTCAGTCCACTGCAGTATGCCTGTATGAAGAACTGGTTTTGTTTTCTCTTTCAGATCAGTTACTTTGTCCAGTAGCTTGAATGTGTTATTAGGGTTTTAATGTATCTGAAGCTATGGATGTCATAGTTATTGCCCTTTCCATTCAAGTAATACCTTATTATATAGGAACCTCCCCAGGTAAAATAGAGGCTTCCAAAAATACTAGTCACTCCTTAAAATAAAAGTGTGTGTTTTCACTGTTTCAGCCACATCCTATTTAAAAGGCAATTTAGTGGTGCCATACGGTGTGTAGAATTTAAAAGGCTAATTGGCCGTGGTTACATGACAGAGCCATTGGTAAAGGAGCAAGTGTCTTGGATTAAACATCCAGAATGTTTTATAGGATGATTTAATATACTGAATTGAAAGTGTTGCTGGTTTTTAAGTGACTCTAAAGCCTGAGTGTTTAAACAACCATAAACAATGAAAGAGTTAACAATGGGCACCAGCATTAGTTTTCTTGTCAAGGGTTCTGGTATTTCCATTTTAGTCTGAGATGTTTGCCTTTGGGAGGGGGAGGAGGCATACACCCAAAAGCAGAAGGAGCAGATTCCGCTTTTCATTGGTCCTACAGTCTAAAATAATCCATTAATAGATGTGTACCAGTTTACCTGAAGGACTTAATCTAGAATCTTAAGCCATATTTTTATTATGCTTTTTATTATATATATATATTTATATATATTATATATATATATTAATATATAATTATATATACTCTATATATATTTATTACACATATTTATTATAGATATATTGCTAAGATTCTTTGTGCTAGGGCACTTTATGGATGTTGTGTTGACTTAAGGTGAAAATGGAAGCAACTACTCATTTATTGTTGGCATAGTTGTGATGTCACTGTTGGAAAGTTAAAAAGCAGTAATTATAGCTGAAATCAGAAAGCAGGTTTATAATTTTACATGCACAGCACAACTTCTTACTAAAGATTGTAGCCATGGTAGCACTGGGTGCTGCACTTTGTGAATAACAACAGTGTACTTACCTTCTTTCAGAGAAATAGAGGAATTCAATAGTGGTTTTTGTTAAGTACAAAGTTTTTTAAACTCTCTTCACAAAAGAAGACCACATCTGTGTTTCTTTTCTATGCTATTAAATAAGACTAGAGATGCATAAAAAGATACCGGATATGGATGCAGAAAAAGAAATACAATTGTTACTTTAAATCCTGACTGTTGAATCATTTACCTAGGATCCTATAGCGTCCCCATCCCTTTTATTGTGCATAGCTGAATATGAACATGAATTGGAAACAGAACCAAACAATATTAAGCAAACTTACCATTATAAAATTGTTATTCCTGCATTACATTTAAGGTCTGTAATACACTGTTAACCTTTTCCATTTTTAAACGTCCGTGCTAATCATGTTCTCTGTCTGCACACATATTCATCTGAACAGAGTTCTCTCAAAGGGACTGTCCCTTTTCATCTAGGAATTGCTTGTTTGAATATGTAAGATTACACAAGTGATTCACAGGTTCACTTGCATCTGTTTATCTGAATTCAGACTAGTGTCAAACTCTTGGCAAATCACTGTATTAGGTATATATTCCTGTAATTTCCATGCTTGTAAAGCCAGGAAGAACTATGCATAAACATTCCTTAAACTCAACAGCTAGGAGATAAATTGAAAACACATATACACACAGAAAAAAAATGAAGGGTCTAAAAGACAGAAGGAAAAGGATGATTGTAAGTCGATACCGGGGGTATAGTAACAACTTCTTGGGTTCGTACAGAATCAGAGTTGTGTCGTTCAGAAACATCATATACTTGTAATCATTCCTCAGACCATTTGGAGCCATTTGGAAAGTCATAAGTAGAGTATACTAAATAGTAAGATAATCCTAAAATACCAGAATTACTTCTGTCTGAAAATTAATCTAGTTTTCTGGCATAGTTGTTGTCCTCAGTCAATTCCAAGTATGCAGAGCATTATATAGAAAGGTCTTCTCATTTTACAGGAGTATTTGCCACATTGCAATTTCATAGAATCATAGAATGGTTAGGGTTGGAAAGGACCTTAAGATCATCAAGCTCCAACCCCCCTGCCATGGGCAGGGACATCTTCTGATTCGGTATCAACTCCCCTTACTTTTCAGTCATCTATGAAAGGGAAAACCTGAGGTTTTCCAAACAAAACTGATCTGTAGGCTGCTGCAAGTCAGGGTGCTTAGATACTTTTGTCCTTGACTTGAGGGGCATTTGCCTGATTTGCACCCCAATCTATAAATTTTTGGAAAGGCTAAGTGCCATTATCAATTCAAGCTGCGATGTTCTAATGAGACAGAAAAAAAGCTGTCTGTCTGACAGGAAGCAGAGTCCAGGGTTGGGTAAGCTGGACTCCTGATTTTTTTGTTTGTTTCTTTGTGGATTTCTGTTTCTTTGTTTCATGTTTGGGTGGGGAGTTTTTTTGGGGGGTGTTGTTTGTTGTTTTGGGGGGGGTCTTGTTTTTTTCTTTGGCTTGTTTTGGGGGGGTTGAATCTCTAAATTCCTTTTGTTTTCTCTGTTAACTGAAGAGTGGGTGTGCCAGAAATCCTGTGCAAGGCTGAGGCCAGTGTGTGCAAACACCTAGTATGTGCTATACACCCTTAGCGATGTCCCTGAAGAGGTAAAGTATGCAGGAATGCCATACTGCTAATAATATGGGAAATATGGAAGATCTGCTTAAGTTGTTGTAGTGAGATTAGATTCAAAAGTAAAACATTTTCAAGCCACTATTTAAATCACATGAAAATATGTTAGGGTTGTGTTTCTAGCAAGTGTCTAATGAGTAGAGAGAAGGGTGACTCCCTTCATACCTTTTTGTGTACACTGCTGAATCATGGTCAGTACCTCATCTGAATAAAATTTCCAACACGCTAGCCTCATCTGACTATTAAAAGAAGTGAAGATGGAATAGTTGCAAATCTGAAATGCAGCTGCAGCATTAGCACTGTATAGCATAGATGTAGTGTAAGTGATATGTTAGATAAGTAAGAGTTCCTTCTGTCATTAGGCTTGAAAGTAGCTTTTGACATGAATTGGGAATCACGACTTTGCAATAGTTTTTTGGTGGTTTGATTTTTGTCTTTTCAAGAATAGCTGCTGGTTTCATATTATAAGCAGTTTGGAGCTGTGTCTGTCTATTCAGTTTGTACAGAACATGGCATGGCAAGCGCCTGAGGTATAATAAAATCTCTGTCTCAACAGTAATTAAATATTATGTTCTGACATTGTTTTTGTTAATAGACACCTATGTCGGTTTTTTCCTCAGCTTTCTCTGTTAGAAGATGCAGGGTTTGGTGGTGTTCTTCTTTACGTTGATCCTTGTGACTTACCAAAGACTACAGATCTTGCTGATAAAGCATTTATGGTTTCCTTGAATGCTGGAGGAGATCCATCAACACCTGGTTATGCCAGTATTGGTAAGTACTGTTCAGGGCACATTCAGTTAATGGATATTTTAATTCTATGTAGATTGTAAGTATGGGAGATGAAACACTAAACCACATCCTGTCTGAAATAGAAACTCTGGATAAGGGAACACCATTTAATGCAGTGTGGCTCAAACTTTGGAATCTAGTCTCAAAGGTCATTTTTCTCTAAATTCTTGGCACAAAGTTTGCACTTTATTTGTCGCTTTTTTTACTCACACACTGAACCATTATTCCTGCCTGTTTATTATTGCCCATTGAGGGAAAAAAAAAAAAAAGTGAATTACTAATCTAGTGGTTTCTGAGCAGATTCCAGGGGATATGTCCCTCCTGAAATAAGCACTTCTCATTCTGTCTTCCACTTTCATGGTATAGGTAATAGAAACTTCTGGTGAATAGTTGCAAGTACAATGTAGTCAGACATTTATATTTGAAAGGATTTAAGAAAAAAGTAGTGTTTATAGTATCTGTGTGCAGTTAGCAGTTTAACAGGATATGTTTATTTAGCCTTGTCTGAGTTCTGCCTTGGTAGACTTGCTTATCAGTTATGCTTATCTAAATACATGTATTTTTGAAGTATGGGAAATAAGAATGGTTTTTAAGGACTTACGTAATCCTTTATAATCTTATGCTTGGTGGTTTTCTTTTGGGGTGGGGGGGTGTTGCTGTTGGTTGTTTTTTCTTTTAATGCAGTGTTATCAATAAACAGAAGCAGCAGCATATTTGACTTGTATGCACTATTTAAATCCACATTCTGGCAGTTCACTGAATATGTGTTCTTTGCTGCCTTTTCAGCTTTACAGCCCTTTTTACTATCTAACCATTTTGAAATGTATTAAGCAGCAGTCTGAGTTTGTGACAAGGCTTCATCAAGAATATTTTGTCCAGTTACTAGCTCAGATATCTAAAGTCTGACTTGAATTGGCACTAAATCAACTGAGGCAGTGCTGATATATACTTCATGACTAGAATGACAGAAAATAGAAATATTAGCCTGGTTGTCAAAGAAGGGTGTTAGCTATTCACAGCATGAATGCCTTGACAGCACAGTGGGAAAGAAATTGCACATTTTCTCAGTGTCTCAGTGTACCTGACCCAGTGTTCTTAAAAGTGCCCTGGGAGCTACAGAGGTAAATATAACACTCTTGAAGCTTTATTCTTGCTCATTTCATGGAGCTGTTTGAAAAACAGTTTGCCGCTTATCTGTCTGGCTGACTCCTTAATGGTTTATTTACCCTACATGGAAAGTGAATCTAATTAAAGCAGATACACCAACATGAAGATGCCACTTCAATGTCTAAACCTCATGCATTGTTTTTTTGTCAGTAAATGATCTAATCAGCAATGTGCATTCTAATCTCCAGTCTGAGATAATGGTGATCTAAGTACATTGGTGGTTTCTACTAGAACCGTTAGTGTGGCTTTTCTGTGGCTTTAAATCTCTGACCATTCATAAACAGGAAAAAGCTATCTTATTTCTAAAATAGCTTATATTTTGATCATAGACTGCAGTAATGAGCTGGAAAGAGCCAAGGGAATGCTTGAGGAAGCTTTTTTCTTTTTTTTTTGTTTTTTGATTCTGTAACTGGCAAGCAGATCAGATGGAAGTATAATATCTGTGTTTCCGGTGATGGTTTTCTTTTCTGGATACTATGAATCAATTTGGTTAGAGGTAGCTGATACCTGGCACAAATACAAATACATCTGGAGCGCAGACTTTTGCCTGAGGAATGCACTTGCATGTGAGGTAGTTAAACTCACTACATGTACAATAAAAGTGCCAGATACGCAGGATAGCCCATGTCACTTTGATTCATAAAGTATAGCATGCACTACAAAGGATTTTATTGGAAGCTCTTACTTAAGCTATTGGCATATCTTTGATACGATCTGCACATCACGTCTTGCCAGAAGTGTTACAACTACAGTCTAAGAGACTGCTCCTACCCCCATTCTCCCTTTTACTACAAAATTCCTAGTAAGATGCATGATCCACAGTTAGTCTTGTGCTAGGCGTATAAGAGGTAGGAAACTTGTATTTTCCCACTTCTGCCTGTTTCTCACATTCTTTTAGTCTGGAAAAAAAAAATTATCTGTGATGTCAGAATATTGTCCTGCTTCAGGTTTTTTCCTAGGGGGAAAAAAAAAAATCTTCAGGAAATACCATTTACAGATCTCTCCTCAAAGTTGAGAAAATTTTCAGTTGGGGTTTACGTAATAGTTTAGAGGGAACTGTAGAGTTCTCATGAGGTTTTAACTCAGATTTTCTGTTTTATGAAGGTTAAATGATGTGCTTTTGCAAACTATTTTATAATGTAAGGAAATAGCTTGAGGGGATGGGCTTGAGTTGCCTACTACCTATGAGTGGAATGATTTTTATTTTTTTCATCTCTGCTTAAAAAATGGAAACAGAAAAGTTTAGAGGAATAGCATAAAATATGAATAAGTTCCCCCTGTACTTTTGGGGTTTTTTTCCCCTTCCATTTTTTAATGCTGCGCTACCATTGTATGGCAAACACAGACTGCTCCATTGCTAGGCTTCAGAGCCAATTTAAATCAAATTTGTTTCCCCACAAGAAATGGCCCAATAAACAAAATTATGGGTACTACTTCCTTGTTGATCCTAGTATGTAAATAGGATAGTGGCATACTATGTCCCAGTAAACAAAAATATGGGTACAAGTTATTTGTTGATCCTAATATGTAAATAAGATAGTGGCATTGTGATAAGCATTAAGAACTCTGCCCCTGAGATAAGGCACGTCATAAGAATCCCTGTCTGTGCAGTGGTAGAATAGATTTTTTTTCATGAAGAATTCAGGCAGCATTGTAGAAAATACTGTGAGCTTAAAAATGCCGAAATACGACATCTGTAAAATACAACCTTATGCTATCAGCTGGAGCTTCAAGTGTAATGTTGTTTTAGAGAATTGTTACACAGAGATTATAACAGCAAGGCAAAGCGATATATTTGGAAGTGGTTCATATTCAGATCATTGTTAACAGCTAGTCATATGAGCCATAGTCTGGGGATTTGGGGGAAAAATCATTAGTACAGGGGAAATGCAGTGTCCCTAGAATTATCAGTAGTGAATGCCATTCAGGCAGCGCAATTGATGTGAGCATTCATCAAACATTGATAATATTAGTTGATTTCAGAGGAAGTGACAAGGAAGATGAGTGTTGAGCCACTGCAGACCACTGCTGAGCCCATCAGTGAAGGTGGTGCCTCTGTGAAAACATTGAAGAAAGGACAAGAATTTGGTGCAGGCAGGGGAGTGAGACTGAGTCTGCAAAAAGGCAGCATGAAAGTGCTGGTTTAATCTTTTGGAGATCATTTCTCACTATCCAAATCAGCTTTAATTGGCAATAGCTGACAGTGGTTTCCCCATGATGGCAACTGTTAAGTGATCTCCCTGTCTTTATCTTGACCGATAAGCTTTTCAATATTATTTCCACCCCTTGTCCTGTTGAGTAGGAGTGAGAGTGCTGCTGAGGTAGGTGTCTAGAAGCTGACCAAGGTTAATCCACCACACTGCGTACTCCATACTTAAAAACAAAATTACCGGAAAGATTTAAGAACACCAAATATGCATCATAAAAAGCCCATGGCATTTATCTCTTTAGTCATGTGTCATACTTTAATTGAGCTTAGCCAGTTCTTCTCTTGTGAACACAGGGAACTACTGCTAGCACTCGGAATACAGGTGAGTACGTGCTGTGAAATGTAAGCCTACTTTAGTTTTAGCCACTCCTGTGATTCTCTATGTTCTGTGCGTCCTGCCTTGTATCTGAGTTTCTCTTTACTGTCCTTTACTCCTCTGAAGCAACCGGCTGAGCAGAAATGTTGTCTAGCAATTTTAACCATGCATATGCAACATGTTCTAAAATGTTTTGTTATAAATCATCATGACTTTTTACAAGATGTCCTCAGCCCTGGTTTGTCTGTTCTTTTAAATAACAAAGCACAGTTACAAAGATGTTTTTTCTATGCTTGCCTTTGCAGCTGTGGATCCTGGGATTTTTTATTTAAAAAAAAAAAAAAAAAAATTGTGTTTACTTTCTTCTAATAACATGAATGAAATACATGGGTAACTTGGTGTAAAATAACTGTCTATATTCAGGCTTCTGGGTGGGTTATTTTGTTTTGGTTTATTTACCTAAAGAGCAGATGAAAGCTGGGGACAAAGAAAAGCTTACAGTGCCATAGTTTAATTTAGAGGTGTGTTTTACATGTGCATATATGTTTTACATGTATTCTTGATTATGTCATAATTAAAAAATAAAATTATTTTAGTGGTTGCTGTGTCATTGCCAACTACACTGCTCTATCTGACTTACTGCGTTATTTGCTATATGAAAAAAAAAACAACCAAAAAACTGTGCTAATGCAATAGAGACGTAAACCTTTGAAAAAACTGGCTTTTAAATAGTGAGCACAGTATGCAGTAATTTCAGGAGATTTTCAATAATACTGCTAGCACTGAGGGTTCAAAAGGTATTTGAATCCATGATCTGCCTCTTCAGATTTCACAGGATACCATAAAGCAACTAAATTTATATTGAAGTACCAAATTACATGCTTTAACTGTATTTAAAACCAAGAAGTTGTACTTCCAAGGTATTTTGGGCTCACAGGTTTGAGTGTGGGGACCTCGGGATGCTGGGGACACACACAACAAATTTGTATTGAAAATGCAGTGATTTTATCAATTTCACTATTAAAAGAGGAGCATAAAAGTTACTGCCAATGGTACTGCAATAGCTTGCTAGCAACGTTTGTATCATTTGCCTCTTGAAATGTCATACTGAACCATATGGTCAAAACTTTTCTCAGTTTCAACAAGAAAATAATAAAAATTGAGTTTAAAGAGTAGTGGAATGTACACGTGGTAAAATATTTGAGAAACAACAAACAGATGCTTCCTATGCTGCAGAATCAGCTCCATGGAAAGCATACTGCCTAAATACTTCCTGACACTTCAGAAGTT